TTCTGATTATATATATTTCATTATATACCTCCTCAATGAAAAAAGGTTTAAAATACTTAAATTACCTTTATTCAATGTTTTGAATATGGAACAATCATGGGCACTTATGTAATTTGACCCCTAAGAGGCTTCAACTAAATGACAAAATAGTGTTAGTTGTTTTGTATTACATTATAAATAAAAAATATTTTATTAAATATTAGTAATACATAACAATTAGGGATAGTTTTACCATTTTACAAAAATGCTTTGCATGTATCAAATTATGAAAAAAAATTTAGTTATTTTTTATTACCAACTGTGTTTCTTATTTATAATAAGAACAACTAAGGGTTATTTTCATCGTTCGGTTGGGAACTCTTTCATGTCAAATTGTTGAAATGCCTCTCTAGAAAGGGGTAATTTTGGATAATTTAAAAATATTTTATGAAAGAGGTATTTACGTGAAATAAAACGATTTTAAAGTGGTTTCATGCCCTTTGATGGTATTTTCCTGCAACACCTTGTGTGGGTTTTTGCTGAGCCACTTCTGCTTTGCAAATACGCAGGCCTAAGAGCTTGCGCAGCAGAGACCAATCTTCGGCGGCGGCGATGACGGTGGCGGCCGCGGACAGCAAGAAGCACGGCTCATCTGTCACCTCACCGCCTACCAAGCGCACCTGCAGCTGCGCACCCACCACCCACCCTGGCTCTTTCCGTTGCCGCCTCCACCGCTCCCTCAGCACACTCAAAACCGATAAGGGCCCCTCCATGTCGTCGTTGTTGCCTCCGATTCCTACCAAGGAGGCCTCCTCCTCGGCATCATCGCCCTTGCCCACCATCACCAACACGGCCGCTGTTGCTCTATTGAAGGCCCATAGGCAACCCCACCTCCTGGCTGCCACCAAGACCGCCGTGAAGGACCACCTCAACCGGCAGATTCAGGGCGCGAATGCTAAGCTCAATGGTAGCAGGATCGGAAAGATGCACAATGGCGCTTCCATGGGGGTGGAGATGCCCGCCGAGACCGCGCCACCACAAGGGCCTAATGGCGGTGATTCATCATCCTGCCATTGATTTGTTTGGGGCTTTCTTTCTCCGTTTTTTGATGGGTCTGATTCTAATGTGTCTTTGATGAGCATTAAATACACCATTGGTAGTTTCTTGGATAACTAATTGTACAGAGACTTGGTTTTCTTCTTTTATGATTTGTTTCTGGACCGAAAGCTTCAAGAAAGTGATGCAATTGAAGTTCCCTTCCTCTTTTTATTATTATATTTTTCTTCGTTTTTTTCTGTTTTTCTTACAATAGATCCCGTTACGATGATAATTAGTTCTAATTACGGTTTAAAAAATTGGATCAGTGACCTCAATTGGGTTGGATCAAAGGATTGACGATCTGAATAAGATAATTGGCTGGATGGGCTGGTTTCGGCCTAAAAAAATTCAAAAAGTACTAAATTTCTTAACAATCTAGCTTTTTAGGTTACAAAAGAAAATTGTAATTTACATTAAAAAAAACCTTTTAACAAAAATATGTAAATGCTGATAATTTGTCTCATATCCCATTGTTTAAAAAAACATTATAATTTTTTTATTACAATCATTTTACAGTCAAAATGATGTTTAAAAATGTAACTAGCTACTCTAGAATTGAATATCTCTAACTCGAATTATTTTTATTTATAATCTATAATGCCACTTATGTTAGTAAAGAGAGGGGGTTCTGTCTATCCATTTTTTTATGTTTTTTCGTTTCATAAATTTAATTTATTAAATTAATTATTTATTTCATTCACATTTTTATCAATATTTTGTCCCTCTAGTGGTGTCTTATTTAAATTTATGTTTAAAGTTGGGGCAGAATCACATTTAGAAGGGGAGGGGTTGTTGGAGAAGAGAGAGAGGGAGAGAGAATGAAAAATAGAAAACCCAATCCAACCTTGAAAAGAGAAATATGGGAAGAGATAGAGGCGAAAAAGAAGAATGTGATCTAAGAGGTAGTGTGTGAGTGAGAGTGAAAAGAACAATCCAATCCGAGACAGAGTGTGTGCGCGCGCCTGTGTGAGTGAGTACAAAAATAAAAAAAACCACTCTAAGATAGAGATTGTGTGTATGAGTGGGAATGAAAAAGAAAAGTACAAGTAGGATAGAGAGAGTGAAAAAGAAAAACCAATCCAATATTTTTTTTATCTGTTTTTTTTTAATTTACTTCAAATTTTTCTAACATTCAGCTAATTTTTTAAGTTGCCTCATTAAACCCACAATGGGATTATGGAACAAAAAAATATTTTTATAATAAAAAAAGATAAAAAAAAAAGTTCAAATATAATTAGATTTAACTAAAGGGATTGTATGCAATGAGACCATTTATGTTTGATACATGGCTGTCACAATTATGTACAATCATCCAATGTGAAATTTGATAGCTTGGATGTGTTATAAAGTTTGAAAAAAAAAAATTTGAAAGTTTGAGCTTGGTCAATGGAATAATTGCAGCCACCCAATTTCACATCCAATAGTCAAGATTAATGTAACCACCTTGTACCAAAGGTTCAGAAATATCTGGATATTTTCGCCAATCTTTGTCTCTAAAAATTTTTAGGAATTATCTACAAAAAGACTATTTATTTTTTGTACATGGAGGTCACAATCATTTTTTGTCTCCTAAATTTCAAAGTGGATAATTGTAAGAGTGTCATTGAATAAACATAGTTCCAAAAAAAATATTCCCGATTTCATGAATCACCTCAAGCCATTCAATTTAGGGTGTGGTTTGTATAGAGCCTAGGCTCCAAACAATCAAATCAGCGCCTACCTTCAAATGGTATCAAGAAATGTGGTTTCAATACTGAATATATTTGTGATAGCCTTAAAATATATGTTCATCTTTATTTATAAAGTTTAAAACGTAAAAAATAACGTAGATTGATAAGTCTATGAAAAATTGAAAAACTTGAAAATTGACGGTTTAAAATGAGTTACGAAATACACTATTTTCAAAACTTGAAATCCAATTTTTTCTCATGTCCATGCATCTTGATGTTTAGATGATCAATTTGAAGATATTTGGACATCAAAACAACCTTTCTAGTGCAATTTTTTAGATAAACTCAAATTTAATTGTTTAGAAGCACGGCTCTATATAAATTTTCCCTTCAATTTAATATCTAATGAGTAAAAATGATATGACTTTCTTGTACAAAAGATAGATAGTGACTTTATAAACTATCCCAATAACTGTTTATGATGGAAAAAAACTCACGTCAAGACAATCGGGCAGAAAATTCGGGCCCAAGACATTTAGTCCCGCATCGGGTCGGAAGGCAAGGCCGATAAATAAGGTGAGGTTGTTGTTCCAAATGAAGTCAAGCAAGGTTCCTATCTTAAATGACGACGTGGCCCTTTGTGTGGGCCCTTTTATGAAAAAGACGAAAAAAAAAAAAAATTTTGGAAGAGATGAAAATGTGGGAACTGTGCCGTCCCACTCAATTAACAAAAACACACGGTTTTTATGAAGGGTATGGTTTCTACAAGGTTGCAACCTTAAACAATCTATAAACAATCCAATTAAGGCGCAGCTTAAAATTTTAGCATAATATATAATTTTGTTGGCAAAAAATTCTTATTATTATCTTAAATCTATTTTCACACCTAATTATAAAATTTTAAATTTCAAAATTGGTCAAAATTAAGTAGATCTATAAATATATAAAAATCTTGCAAATAGACGGTCTAGATAATGTGTTGTAAGATGCACTATTTCTGAGATTAAAAAACTTTTTATTTTCATATTCATAGATGTCGATGTCGAGATGGTTGATTAGAGGGCTTTTTCTACATTAAAACAACATTTTTGATATATTTTTGAGGTGCATATGTGATTCTATGCAACCTTATATAAACTTTTCCCTTTTATGAATCTATGTGAAAATGAAACACTTTTTAAAAATCTATGTTTGAGATGGATTTTTTTAGTTAACTTTTAAGAACATGTAATATCTAACGTAGAGATCATAAATATAAATAAATAAATAAATAAATTTTAAAAATTAAAAATAATAAGTCTATTAAGAAAATATTTGAATCATTAGTTTCAATTGTTTTGAGATGGACCACCTATTTGCATCCATCTTTAAGATGGATGCTTTATACTTGGGACCACATATTGCAGAAATGCGGTCCAGCTCGTATAAAACAATTTTTTTTTAAAAAAAAGGAAAAATATCTCCATATCCCTTAGGTTTCATTTTTTGATAAACTCAATGTTTTAAAAGATATCTTCTAACCCTCTAACCACGTTAAATTTATTTTTAACCTAAACAACTGTGAGAAAGACATGCTCTTTTTAAACCAAATTCTTTCTCTCTTTACTTATATATCCCAAACTTCTCTGTTTCTCTCTCTTCTTACCTCTCTCACTCTCCCTTTCCCCCGGATAACCTCTCACATCCATAACGTCTTTCTCTCTCTAGAAGTTGGGTAGGATAGTTTTTAAAAAAGACATGTCTTTTTAGATTTGTTTGACTTAAAAAAACAGGTTTAAATTAGTTCAGGGGTTAGAAGAAATAAAATATACAATTTTTATGTATCAATATATCTTTTAAAACTTTGGGTCTATTGTGAAATGAAACTTAAAAATAAGAGGTATAAATATATTTTTCCAAAAAAATAACTTAAAAGTGGAACTAGACTGTTGGTTCATATGTGAGCTGGATTGCTGGTTCATCGGCAGATTCGCCGATTCGGTCATTGAACTAACTAGGTTGTAGGGGCAATGAGCCAGTTCCTGATATATATATATTCAAAGCTAGATCGGATCTACTTATATTCAATATGGATAGAGTGATTTCGATTGGAATCAACAATTTTTAAATTATACAAGTATTAGCTAACTACGACTAGAAGAGTTCAACACAACAAAAACACTAAATTAATCACCAAATTACATACGATTTTTTATTTAGCGTTCTAAAATACATATGAATTTAGTAGGGATTACATACCTCTCAGCTCGATTACATTTTTTTGGATTTTTGTTCCAATCGCAAACGTATTCTTCCCCAAAAATTTGGAGCGCGGTGCTCGCAACCTTTACGACATTATATTTGTTTCATTAATATTGTTCAGTTAGTTACATCATTAAAATTAGGGTGCGGTTTCTAAAAGGTTGCAACTTTTAAACGATCCAATTAAGGCTCATCTCCAAATTTCATCGCAACATTGGGATTTTGGTATTAAATATTTTTAGGATAATTCAAAAATCTATTTTTGTATCTAATTATAAAATTTTAAACTCTAAAAAAAATTAAAATAAAGTAGATCTATAAACATAGGAAAATCTTGAAACTGTACGGTCTAGATAATGTGTTGCAAGATGCACTATTTTTGAGACTCAAAATCTTTTTTTTCCTTTTTTTTCATATTCATATATCTTGATGTTATCAATTAGAGGATTTTTCAACATTAAAACAATCTTTTCTGATGGATTTTTGAGATATATTTGTAATTCTACATTTTAAGGTTGCAACCTTATATAAACTTTTTTTAAAATTATCTTATTAATTTTAGATAAAATAACGTATATATTTGTTATGTTAAGCATTATTATGAATTACCGTGAAGTTTATGTTATTACATGTATACCCATTTCTTCAACTTCACAATATTTTTTTAAAAAGACAGAACTGCCCTTTTTGGTTTTTGAAAACTGGAAAGTTAGCTTTTTCAATTTTTTAAAAATCGAAAATCTTAAATATTAGTAAGTTACTGAAAAAGGAAAGAAAGGAAATTTTAGTAAGTTATAGAAAAACATGACGTTTTCGGTTTTCAAAAACCGAAAAAACTGTAAATTTTCTAGTAAGTTACTAGAAAATGAAAGATTGTTTTTGGTTTTTGAAAAACCAAAAATATTCAAGTTTTTATTTTTCAAAAACTGAAAACACGACACTTTCCCTTTCAAAAACCAAAATTATGTCTCTTTCCAGTAAATTTTCCAGTAAGTTAATAGAAAATGAATGATAGTTTTTCGGTTTTTGAAAAACTGAAAACACAACATTTTATGTTTTCCAAAAACCAAAAATCTGTCAAATAGTTTTTGGTTTTTGAAAAACCGAAAATATCCAATTTTTTATTTTTGAAAAACCAAAAACATGACATTTTCGGATTTTCAAAAATTGCAAATATATCTGTAAATTTTCTAATA